TGGGCAGAGCACAGATAGCCCTTTGTGCTTAATAATAAATAACCCAATCTTTGGGGCCATTTCTTTGTATTTTCAGCTGTTATGAAGCCATAGTTTTATTTCTTTGTCATCCCTATTAGTTTTAGGCTTAGTAGCTATATAATACGTTGATAAAGCAGTATGACGAATTATAATGTAAAACTTTTTATACAAATTTGTGTGTGTGAGTGTTTTCTGTTGTTGTTGTTTTATCTTGTATCATGTGAAAGTTGAAGTTCGTAATTTCAACACCAGAGTGAAAGTGATAAAAAGACAGTTTTATTTATATTGACCAGGGCGACTCTGGTGGACCTCTGATGTATCAGGATCTAACAACAGGAAGAGTGGAATTAGTGGGAGTTGTATCATTTGGGTTCGATTGTTCTCGTCCCAATTTCCCCGGAGTTTACACGCGCCTTTCGAGTTACGTTAACTGGATCGGGGGAACTTATATTTTACATGCTATCTTTCTTATAGCCAAAGCTGTGGGGTAATAGCCTCCGGTAAGATCAAGTAGAAAACAAATGTCGGACAGGCTTAAAAGTGAAATACGATGAAGTTTGAAGATTTATGAACATCACCACAGAATTGAGTTATATTTTAACAATAGTAAATACCAGGATGCTCCATTACTAGAAATGTCTAGCTTTGATAACAAAAATCATTTGATTAAACTTCTAAAATAAACCTTGTTATCTTAATTTTTATTTGCATAAATCTTAAAGCTTAAATTGGTGGCACACTGATTTTTTTTGTTTTTCGAATATGAGTTATAGTCACCCGATGGGACAGTGGTAAGTCTACGGATTTACAACGCCAAAATCGTGGATTCGATTCCTCTCGGTGAACTCAAGAGATAGCCAAAGCTTTAACTGGTGGAATTATAAATCTTTATATTTTTCGTCATGTGATACGGAGGTTCATTTCGTCTCTCCCTTTATTAGCCTTGTAGATGTTTCTCATAAGTATGTGGTTTTTCATTACTTCTGTGTTTTATTTATTATCAATACATACATGCATCTACACTAAATCCAACCTAAACGGCACTTTATACTATACATGCCCATGTGGTCTTTCCAAAGGTCCTTAAGGTTTGGGCAAATGTATCACAAATGTAAAATTGTTGACAAGAGAGAGAGAAAAAGCAACCAGTAAAGGCGTTTGTAGGATTATTTTATTTGGGAGGAGAGGGTCAGAAAAAAAAATCAACACTTTCATGTCAGTGGGAAGAATTTTAAAATCTCAAAAAACTGCTTACAAGCGTCTACTTTTAACCAAATAACAGGGTGCAGGGTGTGGTTTAGAGGTTAGTCTACTCGGAGTTGACTGACACAGTAATTCAGGCTAGGAGTGGTTTAAAGCTTAGTCTACTTGGAGTTGGCTGACACAGTAATTCAGGCCAGGTGTGGTTTAGAGGTTAGTCTACTCGGACTTGGCTGACACAGTAATTCAGGCTAGGAGTGGTTTAGAGGTTAGTCTACTCGGACTTGACTGACACAGTAATTCAGGCTAGGAGTGGTTTAGAGGTTAGTCTACTCGGACTTGACTGACACAGTAATTCAGGCTAGGAGTGGTTTAGAGGTTAGTCTACTCGGAGTTGGCTGACACAGTTATTCAGGCTAG